CTGAAATTTTGTACAGTAATTAAAATCCCGACAAATTTTCCATCTGTTAACTCAAAATATGATTGAAGCTTTTAAATTTTGTGCGCGAGCCATTTTTAATTTGTTGGAAAAGACACTCCCCCCTGGTTCACAAAATTTAAGTTCGAGAAATTTTTTTCATTATTTTACATTATAAGTACCCAAAGAAGCTATATATATAAAAAACCAACTACAAATAACTGTTTTGCGAAATTGAGAGCAATTTTAAATCTGTTCAGTTTTTTTTTATACACCCTGTATATATAGCTAGCCGCAAATTCATTAGGATAGGAAAGACTATAGCACTGCATGTGCCTTAAAGTCGGGCAGTACTCCAGTTTGTTTTATTTCTTTTTTTGCGCATTTAATTTTTGTATTGATAAAAGCATTCGTAGCACCGCGAATTTTTAACAGATCACTTCCGCAGGCATCATGCATGCACCTGTTTCCTAACCATTTTTTAAACAATCCATGCCTTTCATATGTAAATGCTGCTGTTAATAACTTGCAATTTAAGACCGTGCGTCTAAAGGCTTTGATCATTAGTCTTACAATGGCTGTCTTATTAAGCATTTGCGCGTTAATTTTTATCTCGCAAATAACACAACCAGGCGATTGCTCGATTGAGCAAGCTATCATTCGCAAAAGGAAGCACACTTACTTAGCGAATCATGTCATCCAAACCAAACAGGCAGAAACCGAATCAGATTGTGGCAGGCATTGCGTTCGAGTTGGATCATGCTTGTCAGTAAATTATAAAACGTCTGGAATCGGTAAAGGTCTATGTGAGCTCAACAGTGAAACGTTGCAAGACACATCTGATGCTGATGGAAGTGTACATAACCCTGAGTTCAACCATCTTTATATAATCAAAAAGGTATGAAGAACACGAAAAGTATTCGATACTGCATGATCTACTTATAAAAGGTGGCGTGGTTGCGTGTTAAAAATATATATAATGGTCATAGAGAACGTGCTTTTCATCTACTTATAAACCAGACATTGATATGAATCGTATCGGACATTGTCATGCTTCCCGTTTCACTCCGCTTTAAACAAATGGCTTTTCTAGCATTAGAAATTGGGTTATCTATGCAGAGACATGTTTAGGCGATCATGCATGACAACCTCTTAATATTTCTACTATAACTTGAGCTGGAGCTAGGAGAAAACAGAATCCTTAAGAAAGTTGTGCATGGCGTCATATTATTTATAGCCTATATTTCCAAGGATATTGCAATCGATATTTCGAAAAAGTTTTCGAAGAAAGAGCGCAAAATCTAGCTAAAATTTGTTTCTGGTGCACGCACTTCGCCGAGAAGATTTTCACTTGCATGCGTATGGGACAGCTTTCGTAGGAAGAGCCATCACTTGGTCCATTCATACAATTAATATTGAACAAACAAACAATACTAAAACAACTAGTAAGAATCAAACGACTGGAAAGGAGTAGTGAATGCAATTGCCGTAAAAAAGATTCCTGTCCTCTCTCCAGACAATGCTTAACAAGCAGCATTGTTTATTAAGCAACTGTGACTAGAAACGATACCAAAGAGGAAAAGACCTATGTAGGACACACAGAAGGGGAATTCAAAACAAGGTACAATGGTTACACCATTAGTCACACGATAGAGTGTATGTAGAAAAGCTTACTTGTGTGGAGGAAGTTTATTAGGATTTACGCCAAGTATTTCTAAAATTCGAAACATTTTTTATATTTAGAAACCGTTACAAAAAATGTCCTTACCACCAATTTCCTGTCAAGATATTCTGACAAAATCAGCAGGGGCTACAAATGGACTTTATAATATCTCTGTCGACAACAAACTGGTAACAGTGTACTGTGAAATGGTTCTTCATGGTGGAGGTTTCACCTTTATTCCCAAGTCGGCTGTCAAGAACGGAACCCTACCAAACCTTGTATCACAACTTTTCACAAACCACTCTGAAGTTCTTCTGTACATTCAAAAGAAAGATGGAAGTCAGACCTACACCCACATCCAACAACTGAAAGAGCAATCGGAAACGCCTTTGGTAGTCTTGCAGAATACAAACTCAGGTTAGTTTGTGTAAATATTGTTTTGAAAACTACATTGCTAATGAGTTAAGTTAGTGCTGACGACCAATTTGCATGGAAATGAAATGGGTTGCTATAGGGGTGTGCAAAATGGGTAGTGCTTTGTGATGGTCGTTGTAGAGGCAGTATACGTTTGTACGTGTGTTTATTTAGCAAATTATTGGTTTCCCAGTAGTTTACATTGTGACTATTTTTATGGTATAACGATTGATGATGGTGGTTGTGGTGTTAATGGCGGTATAAGTTTGCAACATCGGTGTTGTTAATTAAAATACTAACAAACACTTTACTTGGGTAACACATATTACTGGTTTAAAGTAGCTTACATTGTGGCCGTTTTCATGGTATATATATATAAGGATTGCGTTGGGGAAGGTTGAATATTACCTTGGAATTAATGTTATGAGAGTAATTATACAGGGTGTAAAAAAAACTGAACAGATTTGAAATTGCTCTCAATTTCGAAAAAAACCTATTTGTATCCGTTTTATATATATATATATATATATATATATATAGCTTCTTTGGGTACTTATAATGTAGAATAATGAAAAAATTTCTCGAACTCAAATTTTGTGAACCAGGGGAATGTGTCTTTTCTAACAAACTAAAAATGGCTCGCGCACAAAATGTAATCATATTTTGAGTTATATGTCATATTTTGCTATCTGCGAGCTTAATTAATGCCTTTGCCTAATTTATCGCCTGTCTGCAATATGCAAATTAGGTAAAGGCATTAATTAACTAAACCAAATTGTCTGAAATTTGGTACAGTAATTAAAAACGCAACCAATTTTCCATCTATTAACTCAAAATATGATTACATCTTTTAAATTTTGTGCGCGAGCCATTTTTCGTTTGTTGGAAAAGACAACCCCCTCCAGGTTCACAAAATTTGAGTTCGAGAATTTTTTTTCGTTATACTACATTATAAGTATCCAAAGAAGCTATATATATAAAAACCGGGTACAAACAGGTGTTTTGCGAAATTGAGAGCAATTTCAAATCTGTTCAGTTTTTTTATACACCCTATAGTGGTGGAGATTGATGAGAATTGTGGCGACTTTGGAATGACTCTAAATGAGATATTTCAAAGAATATTGACATCGTTAGATTGTGTTTATTATATTAATTGTCAAAGTACATATTGTAATAAATATAATAAGAATTCAGTGATGATAGTGATAATAATGTAGCTGGTGAACTACTAATTTGTAGTTGGCGACGATACTGACAAGCGAGTAATTGTGGGACTAATTAATTAAATAAAAGGTGATGATGATAACTATGAATATTTAAAAAAATAAATAGGAAACATGCAACTGATACGAGCAGACGTGACCTGTTAAAAATTCGTGATGTTTACTGCGTTTATCTTCCATTTTTCTACATTTTTCTACATTTTTCATATTCAAGTATATATATTGAGTTCAAAAACTCATTAATAATTCATGAAGCAATTATCCAATCTTGAGTAAGAAATTAGTCACGTGCATACGTCTTTATACCTGCTAAAGAACACTTTAACAAGAGACCATTGTTATGCAAACTATATAAAGATTTTTATATAAAGATTTTTATATAAATATTTTTATTTAAAGATTTTTATATAAAGATTTTTATATAAAGATTTTTATATAAAGATTTGACTTATGTATTATGCAAACGTTTTTGAAGCCATTTAAAAAACTCGCAGGTCGTGTTTTATTAGGTCTAAAGCCACTCGCGCTGTGCGCTCGTGGCTTTAAACGTAATAAAACACTCCTGCTCTTTTGTTAAAATAGTACATTAAAAATGGTGGCTTTTATACCTGCTTATGCTATGGCGCAAAGTATTCGAGGGCAAAGTCCTTTGTCTTTGTTTTAGTGTTTTTGCTTTCGTAATCAAGAAATTGGCGTCACAAAAATTATTATTGATATAATTGAAATTTGTGACACGTAGTTCGGCATCTAGTGCTTGAAATGTTCCCGGAAAATGTTCAACAATATTTAAATATTCCCTCGTAAAAATAATGACATGGTTGAATTCTTATGTTTTGCTGTACTGTTGCTAAACGTGGATTTATTTTGGATTTATTGATGTCTTAATTTTCAACAGGATTAAAACGCTATCATTGAAAACATCACGTGCGTAATAATGAGTTTCCTATCCAGTGTTTTTATGAACCATGATAATACCGGAGTCAACGGTGCGCAGCGTCGTTTCGGCATAAAGCTGGGACGAGGATATACTATAATTCCGGCCGGCTATTTACACCCGGAGAAAGGAGCGCATTAGCAAAGCCTAAAGTTTATCAATAATCGTGGGCGCATAATTATGGTTCACCGTTCTGTGGGTGGACATCCATACTGATCTCAAAATCTGTCGTGAATAGCGAAAAATGATTGGTCAAATTTAAAATTTGCATATTAACGACAGCGATATAACGAACATTTCTTGCAAATATATTTAATTTTTGCGAGAGATTTTGTAAATTTTAAAACCCTTTTGAGAAAAAAAACCCAAAATTTCCGAAACAAAGGCAGAGAACACGTTTTAAACATTGATGCATTGTTTGCTTTATAATATTGCTTTAAAAACTGGGCGTTGCGTATAATGAAGGGGGCAGCATATAATTTCAGGGTATCTTTATTAATTGCTCTTTTTTATTATATTAAAATTTTTGAATAAAGAGAAAAGTAAAGTCTTAATAAAATCATCGTGTTACCGCAACTACTACTTTCAATATACTTCATGTTCGGATAATATAATGATTTTGTCAGTAACGTAAAGCGAGGGTTTCTGCACGCATATATTTCTAGTACAATAGTAATAGTGGTTGTCGTTGTAATGGAAATAGAAGTGGTAACGGGGACGATATATAGTTACTAATTGTGATAGGGAAAACACGAATTTGGGATTATGAACCATTTAGTGATTGTATATTGGCAGAAATTCCGATTCTCGCATGCTTCTACACAAAACGTTCCACTCAGTAATCTTATTTTCTTTATTAGAGCCTGGTTTAACTTACGGTAGCCCTGCAAATTCGTTCATGGGAGACTATCTATATCTGAGCACATCGATTTACACTGACGGATTCCTTTCCAACAATATGGAAGTGAAATATAATTATCATCGCACATTCTCCACCGGCAGACTCTTTGCATTCTTTCCCAACCATCGTGAACAGAATCCGAGTACGCAACACAACCATGATCTCGTATACGAAACACAAGGGGTTGCGGTAGATTGGAGGAACACTGGAATGGTTTTAGCAGAAAGGATACCTGGTAATTTCTTTTATCTAACTGAGGTTCATTACAGCGGAAATGGTTGCTATACATCCAGTGATCGTTGGATTGAGGCAAATGGAACAGCAATTGGACTGAGATAAAATGAATTCCTCTTTCAAGCTGCGTGTATTTATATATATAATATAACATTTATAGCACGCGAGCGTTGATTGATCGAAAAGCGTGTTTCTACTACTGTTTGAAAGCATGGAACATTTTCCCTCTTGCAGCTTATCTTAAAACATAAACAAACCAATTTAGTTAATATGCTTGATACATTCAGTTTTTCAAAAATTGAAAATTTACAATTTAGCTAGATCAGCATTCTTCGACAATTTATTACTTGCTGAAAAACTAATTTTGCTTCAGGGGCGTGGCGAACGGCTCGATTAAGGGGACGTCATACAATAATGACAAACTTTTTCAATGAAAATGATCAACTTTTATTGGATGGTAATACGAGAGAGTTCATGCAAATCTGCATAGCCGTGTAATTTGCACGATATTAATCATGTGTAATTAGCTAGCGATGAATGTTCAACAATGATTATTAATAAAAATACACTCGGTATATTTTTTGTAACTATAGTTCTTTAAGACTTCTATATACAATATAGAGAAATGATCGAAGCTGCTTGTTAAATGTGCAGTCTGGCTACATCATTTGCAGTTTTACTGTTTGGCGTATCTCTGCGCAGGGGCGCACATCCCAAAATAGTTTTTAAGGCGGGGTGTAAAATATTTTGGGACCGACTCTTTTCTTTACGTGTTTACATATGGAAGCAACGCGTGTATCTAGGGGTAATTGTATTGACCTTCGAATCTTTGAAATGGCATTTCTTTAGTGTGCCGAACCATTTGTGATCAATATTTCTTACGTTTATATATCTCTAATATACTTGAGACGTGATTGCATAAAAAGTGCAAAGGTCGGGAAAAATTTGCAAAATTGAAGTCCCCTGTCAGAAATGCTATTTTCAGAGTCTCATTTATACCTTTTTCGTTCGGTCCTTTTTAAACTAAATTGGCACAACAACTCGGTATATATGGAGCACAGATACGATATTCAGAAATGTGTGTTGGCAATAGGCATTTTATAACCTTTCAAAATGTATTAATTTATTTGGAGACGGAATGGAAACAACCAGTCTGTGTAATGTTTATACCGGACAATCAGGACCAACAAAATTGTCCGTTTGAAACACTTTTTGGAGATTTCTCAAAATTATGGTAGGTGCGAAACACCGCACGCCTAAATTATCCGTTTGCTGAACGTCATCGTTGCCCTAGCAACAGCAGTTTAGTAACGTTTGCAAACATTTCTTGTGGTGTTGTTTTACATATTAAGTAAAGTGCTGTATTTTTCAGCAAGTTACGCTTGTACAGAAATACGGATCTAAATTACAAATTTCTCAAAAAAACACATTTTGAAACACCGTTTATTTCCTGTTTTCCCTAACACCCACGCGTGTTCCTATAATTGAATAGAAACAGTGAAACACGGAAAATGTTTTCTATTTCGTATATAGAAAACTCTTCGAAAGAGGCATCACCAACACCTTTCGTCAGTCAATGAGGAACGTTTATACAAAGCAGCCGCGACAGGATGCCCAAGCTCTGCTTGCAGCCGTACCATTAATTATGAAAGTTGTAAACAGTTATTATACCATTCCCCCAGATAATTCTAAGTTCGTCGAACAGACTGTAACGCCAATCATGTTTTCAGTCCACAAAGTTATAATTCGGCACACTCCTTATTTGGGAGGGTTAGGTGTGACGCGCTGGCAAAGGCTGGATGCAAGTTACAATCAGAGCCAGGATTAATTTCGGTACTCAGTTCTAGGGAAATTGTGTAAGGAAAGGTTAGTGATACATTATGGGTTACGAATTAACCTGAAATTTAGGCCCTAATTTAGAATAGTCTAAAGCGTGGGATTTCCGTCTATCTGGTGGACGGGATATCTATTGGTTGATCAGCATCATGAAAGATTTTGATTGGTTTCAAGCTCACATAAACAATATTTTATAAATAGCTCGGTCAATGTGACAAGTTCAAACGCATGCATCAAATGCCACTGTGATTATCGTAATAGTATTTTCGAATTTCTTCGAATTTCTTTTGTTTAATATGCTTTATGGCTGAAAAAAATATCAAGCACAAGTATTTTGAAAGGGCTTTATCAAAGTCTTTGGACGAATTTTGGACACACGACGCTGAAAGAACAGCAAAAGTCATGTATTCGAAAGCTTGTTGTTGACAGCCAAGGCCCAAGATGTCTTTGCCGTTCTGCCAACAGGCTTCGGCCAAAGTCTTATTTATCAGGTCCAACCAGCGTTGTTTTCTGAGCTATATCACCTTCGTCATGGTACGATAAAGAATTTCGTTATTGCTGTTGTTATCCCGTTAGAAATTGTACATCCGCGTTCAGCAAGTTGAGACCTTGAGAAAGCTTGGTATTCAAGCCGTTTGTTTAGATCCCTCGTTTAATGATGAAACAAATCACTTTAGCGTATTTTCTCGACACGCCACTTTAATTCCAATTGCGGAAAGTATAGATCGCAGAGAACAAAACTATTTGCAATCAGTCCTTGTACAGAACTGACTAAATATTTGTTTGCTGTTCAGTTAAATTATATAGAGAAACTGAACTCTTAAAAGTACCTTAAATTTTTAAGTTTAAAAAGCAAAATTCACACTCTGCGGACATGTTAATTCATGAGAGTATAAAAACAAAAAATCCAACATGAAATGAATATCTTTATATTTTCCGTATTCATTTTCGTGCAATGAAATCTCAACACTTGTCAATCATATTGTATGACTCATGTGTCTAAAAATAACATGTGGGCGTCCCACGGTTCAGACAGGTTTTGTGTCAGGCCCTATTCTAAAATAGGGCCTTAATTTCAGGCTATAGTTACGAATAAACATAGTTGGAAAAGTAATATCACAATCGTTGTAAAAATAAATAGTATAGGCTATATATAAGCATAAGTAATATATATAAGTGAGTGTGTATACAGTAACTTGATGTAATCAATCTCTGAAAGTGAACCCTGTTAATGTATATCACTGCACGAAAAATTGGATTACCACTATAGTAAATATGTAGATAATGCCGCATTTGTGCCTAAATATGAGCAAATGCGGCATTATCTCAAGTTTACTCTGTGTATCCTATAGTGGTAAATCCAGTTTTTCGTGCAGTGTATGTATATATATATTGTCAGGATCTATCAGAACATTAGGAAAGACTATGAGAGTTTTATACCTGATAAAACACGACAACGAGTGTTTTGAATAGCTTAAAATACGATTAGGGTGAACCATTATATAATCATGCTAATTAGGATGAACAATTATATAATGCCAGATGTGTTTTATCAGATATAAAGTCACTCCATGTAACATATTATGGCTGACATAAGTATTTTAAATATCTTCTCATAAGTATTTTAAATACCTTTAATATATAGAAATTGTTTTCATTATTCTACATTTGATATGTAACCATCGGCCGGATAAAAATGAAAAAATAGGAGACTTTATATCTGGACGAATTTATCTAATTTATTTATTTAATGAATTGATTTGCGTATAAAATTGAAAACAGTTATTTAACAATTTTGTGTGTCATTGAATTCAAAGGTTTTCATAACGAAGGGAGGGGGTAGGGGGCCTCGCACTAAAAATCTGCCACGGGCCTCGCGCGACGTTAATCCGGCCCTGTTTCAAACTACTAAATTTTTGACACAAAAACGTTTCTGTTGTATTGCAGATTAATAACCAATTGAAAAAATGAAATCAACAAGAAGTTGAAAATGACGGCAATTTCTGAGTGTGCATGATGTGATTTGTTTGTTTCATTCAAAATCAGAACTTTGTAAACCTCAGAACTCAACCAATGAGAATCTCCTGAGTTTAACTATGACCAATTGGAGTTTGAGAAGCGCAGCTGGGAGACGATTGACAAGTAATGTCGCCATTTGACATGCAGACTCCAAAAACATTTTAATTAAAATTCCTGATAAAACTTCCTACTTAGCCTAGAAATAAACCTACATGGTTTAATTAACCCGGGCTGGGGTCTTCAGCTCCCCACCCTCCCCCAATAATTTTCATGATACTGAAAGCATATGCCGTTTGTGCTTGGTTTCGGAAATTGATGCACAAGTACAATCATAATTGGAATTGGAATTCAGTTTGGATTTTGCGGCAATTTCCATGTGGAATCCGTGTTTCTGTCCAACTTTCAATGAATTAATAGAGACATTTAAATTCCTATTGGAATTTCAATTGATTCCAATTGGAATTTGGGCCAATTTTCACTAGAAATTCGTATTGGAATTCCAATCGTTTTTTTTTTAAAGACGGAGGAAACGATCCAGTGCATTATGTAATTCCTCCAAAGTCGCAACAAGCATCCACGTTGCTCCAATAGCGTGAAAATCTTAGTTTAACGTTGTATTCAGAATAATGACAACGTTGTTGGGGATCCCCCTAGGACAACAAACAATTCAAACATTTTTTTGCATTATAAATTTTTTTGTTTCAGTTCGAGTCGTGTTTTCTAAATCAGTCTTTAGAAGAGCAGCGAACCAATCAACCTTTACGTATCCTCCATTTAAAACCAAATATTCTTGGCAATATAATTTAAAAAGATGCGTGTACATGCATTCAATTAGCTATGACACGAGACACGAGCCCATTACATCTCTGAATTTCGTAAAAATTACGATCAAGTTCAAACTTAAAAAAACTTGGAAAGCTTAACATTTTCCTATCAGAGTACAACTTGTACATAAACTACAAGCGTCTACAAGCTAGAACGTTTGAAGTTATATGCGCTTTGATTGCACGTCGAAAATAAATTACATGTGTGAAATTAATGCATTCAGCATTTCGCACGTTGCGAACAAAATTTTCACCAAAGTCAACATATACTGGCCTAACTCCGAATATTCAGAGAGTTGGTGAAAGGCCACACAATGCTCTAGTCACCTGCAAGAGAACTGATAAAACGACAATTGCAAACAAGAAGCAAAAGCCTAATGGACACATGGGCGTAACAGGCGGGGCGTACCATGGGCGTACCAGGCG